CGGAAGGCCAGCGCCGAGGCTACCGCTGGGCAGCCCGCGGGCGCGCGAGCTGCTTCTGCCCATCGCTTCTGGAAAAAAAACAGAATGCTAATGCTAAACTAGTTTTCATTTAAATTCTCTTTGCCGTCCTGAATATATTTGCAAAATAATCAGAATTTTGCTGGGAGTTTTCGCCCTGAGAATGAAGAATTTTGGAGCAACATTGCAGACACTGAATTTTCTTGATACTTACTTTAATAAAAATCTGACCCAGAATCATTTTTTTCTGTAAGACATTTCAAGGAAATGTGAGGACTCTTCCTGTTTATGGATGCCTTGTCACCTACCACAAAGCGAAGGCTTTCTTGTTTTAGCCTGGGAACTGAGTACTCAGATGAGATAGGGATCGCTGCACTACTCCTCCCCAGCCCCAAAGTAAATAAAAGCTCTGTCGAACCAACACAAACACACTGAGAACTGACCAGGTGAGCAATAAGGCCAAACAACATGTGAAAGAAATACTGGATCAAACAAAATACCACTATTAATTAGCTGCTCTAAGCACTTGTTAGCACACAGCTTCACGCTGGACAGCAGCGGTGTGTGCATACGTCTGTGTAATTCAAAAGAATATGGGCCCACGCAACTTGGAGAGCAGCAGCCACCCAGCACCCCCAGCCATCGCGGGGTGGCAGCGATGGGAAGGGCTGGCAGAGCTGATGCCTCCCCAGGCGTCGCCCGGACCCCTCAGCCAGGACAGAGGGGCTGCAGGAGGCCCCACCTCTGCACAGCCCCGACAGCTCCCGACTTGCCAGCCTGCACCAGCCCCAAGGCACAGGCTGTGCTCTTAGTGGTATTTTACAGAACGCATATGGATAGGAATAATTAAGCCACCTCCAGCAATCCTTTAAAAGTTTGCACAAGCAGGGGACAGAGGCAATGGGGCAGGCACTCACTCTAGCAGCGCTTGGCTGTAGGACGAAGAGGCAGCTGCCTTCCCCTTCCCTCTCCAGGTATGTTCTGAGCTGCGACAGATGGACGGCAGGACAAGCAGCCTTCCCGCTGGCTTCAGCCCAGAGCTGGTTAACCCAGGCGCAAACGTTCAGCAGGTATTTCGGAGGTTTATGCACCATGTCAGAGAGGGGCCCGAGCCTGCAGCAGCACTGCACCCCTCCCACCCTCGGCAGGGAGCAAACGGTCAGGGGGGTGGCAGCCACCCGGGTCACAGCACCCGACCACTGACCGCCGGCGCTTCCAGCAGCACTACAGACCCAGCTCGGCAAGCCCCCTTCATGCTGCTGCCCACCGCAGACCCCAAATCCCCCGGCACCCCCATGCCCAGCCGTGCTCCTGCTCTCCCCTCGCCGGGAGCTGCCTGGCTGGGTAAAGCTCGGCTCTTCCCCAGCTGCCCTCCTCCTGCCTTGCCATCAGGTGCGCCAGGTAAATTAAGACTACTTCCAAAACCTTATTAATTATAAAAGCTCACAGTATTTTTTTTACCCGCATCAACCTCCTAATCCTTTTGTAATCACACTGTGCTTCTGGCTTCAGCAAGTTCCTGAGGCAGTGAATTCCTGGAGAAAAACCACTGTTTCGTACTGGTTTTGAGGTGCTTGCCATTAATTTCATTGCATGCTCCTTTCTGCTTGTGCCATGAAACAGGCAGAGGTTCCCTATTTCCCTCTGATAAGCCATTCAGTATTTTCAATATTTTTAACATATTTCCTCCTATTCATCTCGTTTCTAAGGTAACAATCCTGCTCTTCTAAATCCCTCTTCAAAGCAGAGATTCTTTTTCATTCCTGATCATTTCACTGCATCTCCAAAACCCTTTAACTCACTCTGTTCTTGCTGGCTGGTAGTGCCCAGCCTGGTATGCAGCTCTCAGGGGTGATTTTGACCAAGGCATTAGTGTTTTCCATATTATCATCCATCACACTGTTAGGTCATCTAATATCACTGCATTTTGTACTGAAGTTGCACATTGAGCAGATACACCCACTGAGCTGTTTAGAAACTGCAACTTTACCTGAGGTAAACTATTAATTAAGAATCCTAGCAGGTACTTGACTAGTTCATTTTTTTCCCCTCTAGTACCTATCTTACATTTATTTTCATTAATTTTTATTCCCTGACATGTTTCGTTTCCCCCAGATTCTTTAGATTGCCGCAGAGGGCCTCAGAGCTGTTTCTGCTATGGAGGTAATGTACACAGATGCCATCTGCAGACTGGTTCTTCAAGGTTCAAATCCATTTCTTGGTCATCAGCAAACACAGCCATAACCCAAACCTGGTACCCACTCTTCAAACTCCTACTCTGGGCGCATGGTATCAGAGTTTCTCATTATCCCTTTCAGAGCAGATGCTGCTTTACATCAGCCATGGCAGTGGATGGTTTCACCTCTCCACTAAGAAAGGACCCTCTCCAGATGGAAACGGGAGACCTGGTTACCTGGGATGCGAAGAGAGCTGTGGTACTCGGAGACTTTTTTGCCTCAGTCTTCACTGGCAAGAGCTCCAAGCACGCTGCCCAAAATGCAGAAGGCAAAGGCAGGGACTGGGAGAATGAAGAACCACCCACTGTAGGAGAAGATCAGGTTTGAGATCATCTAAGGAAGCTGAAGGTGCACAAGTCCATGGGACTCCACGAGATGCATCCACGGGTCCTGAGAGAACTAGCAGATGAAGTGGCTAAGCCACTGTCCATCATATTCAAGAAGTCACGGCAATCTGGTGAAGTTGCTGCTGACTGGAAAGGGGGAAACAAACCCCATTTTTAATAAAGGAAACAGGGAAAACCCAGAGAACCACAGGCCAGTCAGTCTCCCCGCTGTGCCTGGCAAGATCATGGAACAGATCCTCCTGGAAACTGTGCTGGGGCACATGGAAAATAAGGAGGTGATTGGTGACAGCCAACACGGCTTCACTAAGGGAAAGTCGTGTCTGACACGTTTGGTGGCCTTCCACAACGGGGTTGCAGCGCTGGTGGGTAAGGGAAGGGACGTCGTCTACCTGGACTTGTGCAAAGTCTTTGACACTGTCCCGCACGACATCCCTGTCTCTAAATTGGAGACGTGTGGATTTGATGGATGGAGCACTCGGAGGATAAGGAATTGGCTGGATGGTCGCACTCAGAGAGCCGCGGTCAGCAGCTCGATGGCCAAGTGCAGAGCGGTGACGGGCGCCGTTCCTCGGGGGTCGGGGCTGGGCCCGGCGCTGTTTCACATCTTCGTTGGGGACACGGGCAGTGGGATCGATGCCCCCTCAGCAAGTTCACCCGTGACCCCGAGCTGCGTGGTGGGGGACACGCTGAGGGCAGGGGGGGCATCCCGAGGGACCTGGGCAGGCTGGAGAGGGGGGCCCGGGCAAACCCCGTGGGGTTCAACAAGGCCAAGGGCAAGGTCCTGCCCGGGGGTCGGGGCGATCCCCAGCACAAACCCAGGCTGGGCCCTCGAGGGGTGGCTGGAGAGCAGCCCCAAGGAGAGGGGCTGGGGGGGCTGGTGGGGGGAAAACTGCCCGTGAGGCAGCCCCGTGCGCTGGCAGCCCAGAACCCACCCGTGCCCTGGGCTGCAGCCAGAGCAGGGGGGGCAGCAGGGCCAGGGAGGGGATTCTCCCCCTCTGCTCCGCTCTGGGGAGACCCCCCTGCAGTGCTGGGGCCAGCTCGGGGGCCCCCAACAGCAGAAGGACCCGGAGCTGCTCGAGCGGGGCCAGAGGAGGCCACGGAGATGCTGGGGGGGCTGGAGCAGCTCCCCTGGGGGGCCGGGCTGAGAGAGTTGGGGGGGTTCAGCCTGGAGAAGAGAAGGCTCCGGGGGGACCCTGAGAGTGGCCTCCCAGGGCTTAAAGGGGGGGCAGGAGAGGTGGGGAGGGACTCTGGATCAGGGGGTGGGGGTAGGATGAGGGGGGACGGTTTTAAACTGAAAGAGGGCAGATTTAGATTGGATATAAGGCAGAAATTGTTCCCTGTGCGGGGGGTGAGGCGCTGGCCCAGGGTGCCCAGAGCAGCTGTGGGTGCCCCCTCCCTGGAAGGGTTCAAGGCCAGGTTGGACGGGGCTTTGAGCAACCTAATCTAATCAAAAGTGTCTCTGCCTTGTGTCAGGGGGGTTGGAACTGGATGGTCTTTGAGATCCCTTCAGACTCAAACCATTCTATGATTCTATGACTTCTGAAAGGAAAGCCTGACCCCAGGCATCACCAAAGGGACCCTCAGCCACCAAGGGCAGGTCTGAGGGGAGCAGCAGCTATCTTCCTGGAACAGCATGGGTGCCCAGTCCTGGCTTCCAGCTGAAGGCAAGCACCAGCAGTAGCGAGCAGTGCCAGAGCCGACGGTCGCCTTGCACATGGCAGCAAGTGACGGGGAGCAGCAGAACACGAGGACACGAGGTCTACATCAATCCCATGCCTACGGCCACTGAAACTGCCCAACGCACCAGGACGGCCACCCTGCACTGCTCTGTAGGTCGGGCGAGGGCACCCACCATCCGCCCTCGGTGGGTGCAGCAGAGCAGTGCCACCACCCAGGCCTGTAGGCAGAATACCAACAACCGCCACAACCACAGGTCGGTTCGGACGCATTAGGCGTTGGCTGATCTGCAACGTGCCGCCTCGAAGTATTAGTTTTCAAGATGCATTCATTGTCATAGCAACGACAAGCACAGCGCAGCATTGATGTACTTACCATTTTTCTGAGACGCAAGATTAGACCGAGGGCTGGGGAGAAGCTCGAGGGAAAAAAAACCCTCCGCGCTTGCTCCGGGCCCTGGCTAGCCCCGCTCCTCGCGGTGCGTGGACAGGGAGGCGCAGGGCTTCATCAGGCTCCACCAGCCTTCCCGCTCCCCACCCAGGGGTCCCAGGCGCGGGGGTCCGACGGCTGCCAAGGCGCGGGCAGCCTGGCTCTGCCTCTCCCCAGCCCCTTACCTGGCCTTGCCGCGGCTGCTCCTCCGGAGCGTGGGCAGGTCGGCCTCCTTCTCCTCCTGCACCCGCTGCAGGGACGGGGAGCGGCTGTGGGCGCTGCGGGAGCTCGCCAGGCTGCCGTCCGCCGCCCCGGCCCCCGCCTCCTGCATCTGCGCCAGCAGCTGCGGCGGCAGGCTGCGCAGCGACGGCACCGGCGAGTAGGACGCCCGGCTCTCCGCCTTCAGGTTGTTGTCGCTGGCCGAGCGCTGCAGCATGCGCGGGGACGCCAGGCCGCCCGCGCCGAGGATCCGTCTCCGCTTCGTGTAGCTGGGAGTTTCTCTGAAAGGCACTGGAAAAGAGCCGGGAAAGCGGCGTTAGCTACGGGGCGCGCGGCCAGCGGCGGCCGGCCACGCTCAGGCCCGACGATGGTGGCAAAGCCGGAGGGCTGAGAAAGCAGGCGGAGCTGGGCCAGTGTAAGGAACGGAAAGGATCAACGCCTCAAACAGTCCTCGACGCCGAAGCACCAGGGACAAGCTGTGGCCTTTGTGATCAGCCTAAGGAATGCTGCCCAGCGAAGGATGGAGTGTATCGAAGGATGCCTAGCTCCACTTCCTTGCTGCTGTAGTGCCAAATTCCTTATCTAAGCCTCAAAAAAAAAAGACTGATAAGCTAAGGGCTGGACAATTACCCAAGAAGAAAAATACTGAGGAAGAAGTAAAGGTGGTAGGAGGGAACAAGACCACCTCATCTCTCATGGAAATGGGTTCCCAGAATACCTGCCTCTCTTTGTCGAGTATGCTAATCAGCTGGTAAGATGAACTTAAAAGGCGACAGAAAACTTTGCTGCCTGTGCACCCACCACCCAAGACTTGCACCCACCACTCAAGGTTTCCAGACCTGAGACAATGCTGGAACCTGGGGTGGTGACCGGACTCTTCTCCTTTTCTCTTCTTTCTTACAGATTTATCAATAAGAGACCTCATTGCTTACTCTCCTTTTCCAGGTTTGAGCTGCTTCTACCGCGAGTAAAACATTTTAACCAGTTGTTTGGTGCTGTTTCACCTTAATTTAACCCAAGGGGATCACAGAACCTTTCCGACTCCATGGACTCCCAGTCTGGCTCATAACAGCCGGGAGGGCAGGAACGGAATGGCTGGGGCAGGGGAGGACGCGGCTCTATCTGCTTCCAGCTCCTCTCCCCTGCACCACCCCAGGGAAACAGCCCCGGCAGCACAGGGGGCAGGTGAGCCCGACGGCGGTGTGCCAGCGTGGGGAGGGCTCGCCGGGGGCGTCTCGGGAAGCACCAAGGAACGCTGCCAGCAAGGGCGCCCGGGGAGGGTGCGCGGGGCCACCAGCCCACCCCCGACTGCCACCCCAGCGCAGGGGCGGCGACACGGGCACGGGACATCGACACCGGCAGCAACCCCGGCCACCGACTCCTCTTCTGTTTTGGAGGCGCAGAAGGCCGGAATCTATAGCTTCAGGCACGCGCCAAGTGCAAGCCTAGAAAATGCAATACACGGAATAAAATACCAGCTACCCCCTGCTCCACCTGATCCCCTACCCGACCCTCGTGAGTGCGCGGAAGAAATGGACCTCACGAAACCACCTGAAGATGCAAACTCCTGCCTCTGCCTGCAGCTCTGCAGAGGGAGGAAGAGCGGAAACGGGGAACCCAACATGGTTGCAGGGGAAGAGGGCTTTGCTGTGGAGACACAGCACTGCAAATCTCAGGTCAGGAAAGGCGCATTTTCCTAAATGTTAATTAATCCATTTCCATCCTGAACCTTAACATGCTTAGACGTGTGGCAACACCTAGTGCAGAACCCAGAGTCAACAACATCCGGCCCGTTTCTGGTGCGAATGTAGCGGGGAAAGCAAAGGGACGGGTGAAGCACGCAGCTCCTGCCCAAAGGCACGCTCAGAAGTGGTGTGATCCTGCTACCAGGGCACCTCTCGCCCCCCCGCACTCAAGGCCACCCCTCGCACAAAGGCGCGGGAGGGAGCCCCAGCTGTGCTGCCCTGGGGCTGCAGGGGACGGGAGCAGCCGGGGCTCTGGGCAGGGCAGCGTCACCCCTGTCACCCTGCTCTGGACACCCCGGCGGCGCTTCCCAGCTGCCCTGCGCAGCCACACTCGGAATATTTCAGGTTCAAAGTACAAAAATTTCAGGCTCCCGTAAATCTCCCCGTTGCCATAGCAACACGATGCATTTGTTCTCTGATGAGTTTCAACCACGTGGTGGGGGAATTTCTGCCGGCAGCGGCTCAGCCCGGCTCCCCAGCCTCCCGCTGCTGGCCGCCCGCACACGGCCTGGGTGCCGCCAGCACCCCGTGACCGGGCACCCTGACAGGAAAGACGGGTCAAAATGGTCACCCAGAGGCCCCAGGCACGGAGGGATGTCGGACAGAAAGCAGCAAAGCCTAGGCTGTGGATGTGATGCAGCCCCTGGGGTAAAACCTGCTGTAGATTCGGTGCCTGGGAGTGTGCAGGAGGGAAAGCCACAGTCAGGGCTAGCTACGACCATTTGACAGGTTTGGTTGATGAGGGCTGTTGACCCAGGTTCATGTGTCATCCAGGCATATGACAGATCTCCCGGAGACATTTAATTTTGTACTACATCACTTCTCACAGAAAACCACTTTAAGAAATCAGAAAAGCAAGTATTAAATGGATGCATGTTATGGCAACTGGCAGACCTGAAAATTATTAGAAATTGGAAATAGCCACTGGAAACACAAGAAAGTTTCTTCCTAGTCTCAAAGAGGTGTTTTCAAACCAAGCCAGGTCAGTAACTTTAAGCACAGTTCTTGGAAGAAGTACAGAATTACTTTTAGTAAAAGCACCAAGTGCCGCCTAGTGATAAAAGCACGTCAGTCAGTGCCTGAATACCTTCCCAAACCAAGGGCCAAGGCACATCCTGGTCAAGTGAGTACCTCCACGGTGTGCTTCCAGGGACCAACACCACAGGTGAGACCAAGTGATCCTGGGGACTGTAACGTGAGAAGGGTTGTGGGCTCACAGCAAAACCAAATGGGAGCTCCGTGCCCTTCTGCCAGGACAGAGTCAGCCTGAGCCTGCTGCATCTAAGCTGGGGAACTGCGACGCCCCAGAGAGGTGCTCCATCAGTAGGCAATGGCACAGCTGGAGAAATTCCAAGTTTGGATCCACACCATATGAGAATTTCGGTAAACAGGATATATTCAGCAAGAAAAAATTCAAGATCTAGAAAAATCTGCCCGGACCATTCTTCCTCCTGTCCTGGGAGGAGGCAGGAACAGCAGTCAGCCCTCTGCAACGGCCGGTGGTGTCCGTGCTCCGCACTGCTCAGGCAGCGCCCACGCCGCGCTCCCCCCTGCGCACGCCCATTCCTACAAGGAGGCAAAAAGGGCCATCAGAGCACCAGAACTACAGACAGACCCACGCGGAGGTATTGCTCAGGGTCATCGCTCTTCCGTGCGTGACTGGGCTCAGCATCTTTGGTCTTGACACCAAACCAAGAGAGAAAGAAATAGAGAAGCAAGAGAGCAATGATGAAAACTTCAGACAGCAGGAGTTGGCCTGGGCTTGCTTTCATGTGTATTATACATTTATTATTAGTTTCGTGAGATTAATTGCTTAGAAAACAAAAATCATAACTGCATATTGATCAGATCATATGTAAGCTTACTGCAAAATAATACCATTGACAAGCTGCTTTTACTAAGATGACAGAAGAAAAGGAAAAAAAGAGAAAAAGAAAGAAAAAAAGAGATTTATCTCGCAAAGGAAGAAAGAAGCACACCAGGCATGAGATCCTTCTGGTGTGTGCTAGATCTCCTCTGCTCCTGGCTGCCTTAGCTCAGCTGAAAAGCAGTAAACCTGTCCCAGTCCCTCCTGTCCCCACTGCACCTAGCACAGACTTCTCACCAGGGGGATGTCGAATGGGTCAGGGTCAGGTTCGGAGGGAGACGATTGGCACAGTTTGTGGTGAGACATTCACAGCAAGCACCAATTACTGGGCAATGAGACACAAATAAGTCGCTCAAGGACCCACTGGTAAAAGGGAAGGTACTTTATAATTCTTGACACAGGTCAGGGCAAGTGCTTTAATTTAGTCTGTCAAATAAATCACCTGGCCACCCATTTCCACACTCCATGCAAGAGCAGTCATCACTTTATATATTCAAAGTGCCACCTCCCAACACTAGAATTATAGCATCCACCTTAAAAAGAAAGAGAAACACAACCTCTCTCTCAGACTCACACGAAAGAGGAAGAGTAGAGTAGCTGGAGAAAGCAGCCCAGGACTGTTCTGCTACACACTAATCCATTCATCATAACATCAAGTATAAGAGTCCCTGAAGCACTACATAACATAGCACTTACAGGAGTAAACGAGAAGGTATCCGGGTCACATACCAGGTTGTAAAGCCAAAGTTTCCCGAGCATCTAATTCCAGAAGCATAAGAAAAGGACAGTATTATAGCTGCAAAGGCAGTCTCTTAAGACAGGACGTACCTGCACTAACTACGTAATTTTAACTTGGCCTCCAGCACACAGTAACCACCCATGAGGTGGGATGCAGACAGCCTTTTTCATTTGCTAAAGTGGGATTTAGGGGCAAGGGAATCACGAGTCCCAAAAATGAGTGAAAAAAACCTGCTTTCCAATACTATCACAGCAATACAGACTTTCAGTTGATGCGTGTTTAGACTGCACAGTTCCCTGGGCGCTCAGGTGTCCAAACACACTCTGATGTCCCCTGGCCCAAGCACCTGCAGCCAAGGCCCAGCATGTCTATCCTGGCACATAGGGGAGAGTTCACAGGGACGCGGCAGAGCCCTCAGGAGCCTGAGAGCAGAGGTAGAGATGATGGAAACCTCACCTGCTCCAATTGCAGTGCTTAGCTTCTGGCACCTGGACTGCCTTGGGGCCCATTCCAGGGCCACTGTGCAGCCAGGAAGGCAACTGGACCAAGATCAGATGTTTCTACACATTGGTTAGAGATGTAGAAGTGACAGTATGTGCCCGGGAAAGCCTGACCTTTCCCGAGAACACCGATGTGCAAACATCCAGGCAGCTTCACAGGAGGAGGGCAATCAGAGGAATACAGCTACCATTCACGTGAGCAATACAGGACCACTCTCCCCAGATGTTCCAGAGTTTCTCCAAAGCTCTCATCTAAGCGCAGACCTACATTCAGCCAGCCTAGAAGCTCTGCCACACAGATACAGTACAAGCCTGGGTCTTTCTGGACAGAAATTATATATATTCAGAGAGATACAAGTGTATTCTCAGTGGTGATACACAATGAGATAAGAGACAGCCAGGGAGACAAAATCTGTTGCACATGGCAGAAACGTGGAAGA